ATGGTAAAAGGGGCGACTGGCCAAACTGAAAAGGCATATTTTTGTAAGCCACTGAGATATAAATTAGGGAAACAATGGGGTATCCACAAATTCCTATACATGCCTAACTCCCCAAAGGCACTATTGGGAAGGGATTTATTGGAACAATTGGATGCAAAGATTACATTCGAGAAAGGGGAAATTACTCTGGAGGTGAAAGATCAACAATACATACAGATATTAGGTTTAGTTTTAACCAGTCTCCCCGAAGGAGGAAAGGTTGGTGAAGAGGTCTTAGACCAGGTATATCCTGGGGTATGGGCCACCGATATACCTGGAAGAGCAAAGAATGCTTCACCTGTTGAAGTTAGACTCAAGGAAGCTTGGCAACCAGTAAGAATTAAGCAATATCCCCTAAAGAAGAAGAGCGAAGAATGCTCCACCTGTTTAAGTTAGACTCAAGGAAGCTTGGCAACCAGTAAGAATTAAGCAATATCCCCTAAAGAAAGAAGATAGAGAAGGTATCCAGCCGGTGATTGAAAAGTTTTTACAATTAGGATTATTAAAAGAATGTGAGTCTGATTTTAACACCCCTATATTACCTGTTCGCAAACCAGACGGGTCGTACCAAGTGGTCCAGGACTTATGACCTGTAAATAAACTAACCGAGGACCTTTACCCAGTAGTGGCAAACCCATATACCCTGTTGACTGTATTAACAGCTGAACTAACTTGGTTTACAGTATTAGATTTGAAGGATGCCTTCTTTTGCCTCCCTCTCCATGAAGCCAGCCAAAAATTGTTTGCATTCGAATAGGAAAACCCCAAAAGTGGTCCTAAGACCCAGCTCACTTGGACGGTGTTGCCACAAGGATTCAAGAACAATCCTACCATCTTTGGCAATCAGCTTGCAAAGGACTTGGAATCCTGGGAGATCCCGTCTGGAGAAGGGAGATGGTTACAATATGTAGATGATATCTTGATCGCTGCCAAAACAGAACATGAATGTGTGACCTGGACGGTGAGTCTGTTGAATTTTTTGGCACTCCAAGGGTACTGAGTATCCAAGAAGGCCCAAATAGTACAATGTAGCATGGTCTATCTGGGCTACGAAATCAGTGCTGGACAACGAACTCTGGGGCAGGCACGCAAAGAAGCCATATGCCAAACTCAGAGACCACAGATGGTAAAAGAGCTACAGACTTTCTTAGGAATGACTGGGTGGTGCCGATTATGGATTTGTAACTATGGAGTACTAGTTAAACCATTATATACATTAATTATATGCATTGATAGACACAGGACAGAAGCCCCTTGAATGGAACAAGGAGACCACACAGGCCTTTGAGCTACTGAAAAAAGCTCTGATGTCGGCTCCAGCCTTAGGACTCCCAGATGTAAGTAAACCATTTTTCCTCTTTTCCCACGAAAAACAAGGGATTGCCCTGGGAATACTAGCACAAGATCTGGGCCCATATCGATGAGCAGTTGACTACTTTTCCAAACAGTTGGATACAACTGCAAAGGGTTGGCATGGACACTTACGAGCAGTTGCAGCTGTAATATTAAACATACAGGAAGCCAGAAAATTCACTTTGGGTCAGAAAATTACTGTTTCAGTGTCTCATACAGTATCTGCAGTGCTGGAAGCAAAGGGTGGACACCGGCTTTCTCCACAAAGATTTCTGAGATATCAGGCCATACTGGTAGAGGAGGATGATGTAGAAATTACAGTTACTAACATTGTCAACCCAGCCTCTTTCCTCAGTGTGAATACAGGAGAACCAGTACATCATGACTGCTTGGAGACCATTGAAACAACATACGCAAGCCGCCCAGATTTGAAGGACAGCCCTGTAGAAGACGGGCAAAACTGGTTTACAGACGGGAGTAGTTACGTCTTGAGTGGTAAGAGACATGCGGGGTACGCCATTACCACCAGTCAAGAAGTAATAGAGTCGAGACCTCTGCCCACAAACACCCCTGCACAAAAGGCAGAATTAATTGCTTTAACCCGTGCCCTGGAATTAGCCCAAGGCAAAGTAGTGAATATATATACAGACTCAAAATATGCCTTTGGAGTTGTGCATGCACGTGGAGTAATCTGGAAAGAAAGAGGATTGCTGAGTTCTCAAGGGAAGAACATCAAGCATGCAGAAGAAATTCTGAGACTATTGGAGGCAGTCCAACGTCCTGAGAAAGTAGCAATTACGTATATTAAGGCACACCAGAGAGGGAGCCCAGAATCGCAAAAAAGA